AACACAGATCACCCACACTCTGGTTCCCAGGGAGCCACCCTGTTAGGAACCCGGTCTAGGGTCCGGTGCCACCGCTACAATACAAATGGCGCGGTTGAAAGTGGGGTTCTTGCTGAAACCTAGGTTCTTGCTCCCAAAACCTAGTTTCTTGCTCTAGAAACTAAGATTCCAGCTATAACTGCGGTTATAGGGCTAGAAACCAGGTTTCATGCCATGAAGCCTAGTTTCATGACAAGAAACCTGGTTTTGTGAGCACGAAACCTGGTTTCGTCGCTCGAAACTATGGTTTCTCGAATAGTCGAATTATGATACAAATGGCGCGGTTGAAAGTGGGTTTCTTGCTGAAACCTAGGTACTTGCTCCCAAAACCTAGTTGCTTGGTCAAGAAACTAAGATTCCAGCTATAACTGCGGTTATAAGGCTCGAAACCAGGTTTCATGCCAAGAAACTTGGTTTCTTGAGCAAGAAACTAGGTTTTGCGAGCACGAAACCTGGTTTCGTGCGAAGAAACTTAGTTTCTCGAATTATGATACAAAATGCTTGCCATATGCGTGCTTGCGCGAGCGTGTGTGTGCGCGTGGGTGCGCCCGTGCATGCCTTCGTCTACGCGTGCGCACGAGTGCGTGTGCGTGCGTGTCTATGGTTTTAGAGGTTTTTCTGCCCGTATTTCACGTATAGACACGTATTTCTGCGCAAGTCGATGGTGACGTACCTGTCAGTAGGAGTGTAAGCTATCAATCTAACATAATAGTCGTACAACTATAGTAGCTACGAAGGTCAAATCCCGTGACTCATGCTATCAAGAGCACAAAAGCTGCAAGGTTTGTACTCTTGATGCTATCTAAATACCATACACGTTAGCAATTAGTGTACGCACAATTACTATAATTTACAAGTAAACCAGCTGGGTTTGCGCGGTAAATATAATTTAAGAATTATTAAAATTGGCCCGTGCCTGGGAGGTTCGCGATCTTACTGGCGACCACGTCAGCTTATCTCCTACCCATGTTCTCCAACCTTGTTGCCTGCTGTTAAAGCTATGATACCTCCAATGTTTTATTACGCCCGGATGAGAGCGGGACAATCAAATTTTTTCTCATATTATGACAACGTGCTTGCTTTGTGGCAGTTAACCATGCTATTTACTAATGGCTCTGGGAGTTTTAAGTCGCAATCGCGTATAATTAATTTCGCACAATTATTTCCGTTGGCGGCTAAGAATTCGTGACGACGCCTAAATGGCGTGTATCCAATGGTATTGTTTGTATTGTATTGTATGGTATTGTTTGTATTGTATTGTATGGTATGGTATTGTTTGTATTGTATTGTATGGTATTGTTTGTATTGTAATGTATGGTACGTATGGTATTGTTTGTATTGTAGTGTAAAAGCAATATTTGTCTTCGTGTATTCTTATTCTGCAGACAGCATAGAAGACCACGGATCCATAAACCATGACTTGTTCACCTCCGACCATGTGTGTGCCGGCGTGAAGCTAGATCCAGCAGTAGTAAATATATTATAGTATGGTTATTATATTGCACACTGCAGATGATAACTGTAATGATGTAACGTTATGACATGCGTGCACGAGAGTGTACGAGATTCTACGAGAGGCCGCGAGCATGCACGTAGGCTCTCTCTGCTACGTGTGCTTGAAAGCGTGAGCTGTGTTTGGGCATGGCTCCTCAGTATAATATATATTATACCAACTAACAACATGTGTTAATCCATAATATTACAATAACATAATATTACTATACGCGTATTGCAGACAATCGCCGTGATATTTTGTACAATCTATATGTATTATGATATCATCATAATTATGCACATCGCAGACAATAACTATGATAGAGGGGGAACGGGGGGTACATTCCCACTTCCCCAGCAAAAAAAACACCCCATATCCCAGTTTCCAGTAAAATAAAATCCCAATTCCCAGTTCCCAGGAAATTATGTAGACATGTTTCAGGAAATTCAGTAGTTTAGGTTTTCAAACATCACACATGCACACACACCTGTGTGTTTAGGGTTATATTTCCATAATAGCACTTACTGCACCTAGTAGAAATATGATCCTGCGCATCTTCATGCTAGTACTTGATCGGTAGAAACGCACAGGGAACAAAAACCTTATTCAGTTTTATAGGACGTTAAAATATAGATTTCAACTCCTCTCCATCCGAAGGCCAACAGGTTATTTGTGGATGGCTATTTGTGAAGATTGGTGAAGATACAGATGCGCCCACGCGCATGCGTCGTTATTTGTACTAGCAGATGGCAGGGTGTTTGACGGTAATGTCAGTACAAATATAGACACACGAAATTATCCATGTGTAGGCCTACAATGTGTGTCCCAAAATCTAAATTATCGAGCCGAAATTGTGTTCGTGTCATAGAAGAAACATTTCCGAAATAGTGCCAACATACGGATCCTTTAAATACGGACTTTTTTAAAGAGACAAGTAGTAGTAAGAGTAAGAGTAAGTAAGAGTAAGAAATTAAACCAAAAAGTTCGTTCGAGGGAACATTTTTGTTCCAGCAAAACTTTTAAATAATTTTTTTCACCCATGTCCCTTTAAAAGCTCCGAGTTAATAGATGTTCAGTCAGAACAAAATGTAGAAGTTAATGAATCTAATCGTACACGATGATTTTATCCTTAAAATGTTACTGCGTATTTCTAAGGTGATAATGTTACACAGCAAGCTGTAAAATTTTCTACATAGAAAGTTTAGTTCACAGTAACCTGATTTTACTCTGATCCCCCACACCAAATAAGTCGGGCATCAGATCAAACCCAAGAAACCCCGACATGCGTGTCTCAATATTATGTACAAATTGAGTGCTTCCTGGCTGCTGGAAGAATAGGAAAGATTATTTTAATTCATGACAATAGAAATATTCGCAACGTATCTTTATCGTATCGCACAGGCTTTCGTGCGCGCCCAACCCTTTTTTCGTTTGAACAAAGTTTTTGATTTTTTTTTCACGCGTGTCCCTTTTGGCAGCCGTCGTAACTAAAGGCTATGATATACGGAGTGTAGATCTATAATATATATATATATATATGTAGTATGATATAAAGATCGCGTGCTTCTGTCTCTCATTGATTTGTGGCCATTTAGAGTGCAGCATATTTCAAATGTGTATATAGAATGTTTTCAAATATAGATTAATTGCGTTTCCGATTGATTGATGAAATGGTATCGTTTATTGGAGTAGAAATCGTCCCGCGATAAAATTCAAGACGAGAAGGGCCCAAGGTCGATCGCGTAATGGCCACCATGCTGTCAGTTTCTATATCAACATGAGCTTGCAAGCTCCTCACCGTCAGTGAAACAATAAAAAACAGTTCTTATAATTAAAGGTGCTAGCTAGCTTAACAAGTGCATGACAAGTGACGACACCAGGGCAGCTATAGGTACTCTCATAGAACTAGAATAGAAACGTTCTACTTCTATTCTAGTTCTATGGGTACCCCACGTGTACGTACTTTTACTAAAACTAAAACACGTACACTATTATTATTCTAACATTTTAAAAACCATAGCAACTAGTAAGAGCAACTGACGTACACATACGAGAACACGCGAATACTAAAACATAATGATAAAACATAACCAGACAAGGATGCTAAAACTATAGTGATGAGTCGATTAAAAGAAACATTCTACTGAGGAAATGCGTTGCTGTGGTTAGCAACCATATGCGTGCAACACACGAAAATAAACGGAGGCATATGTGATATGGAGTCATTAACAGTGCATGACTGATATAATTGTATAAAATAATTACAGCAAATAAAATGCAAAGAAGATATAAAGATATGTTAAAAAAGGAATACTTAGAGGCTGAGTTGATGATTCATATATAGAAGCACAGCCCAGTTTATTGTATGTGTGTGTGGGGGGAGGTCGGTCAGCGGCAGATCGCACATCCGCAGGATGGACCTGACCACAACCTAATAAGAGCCTCTTAAAAGTTTTGAGTCATGCAGCCTGGCGGATGTTGGGCGGTAGTGGCTTCCATAGCCAAACGCCATGATACCGAAAAGATTTCTTGCTATGAGCTATTGATCTAGTTAGTCGACTCTACTCTAGTAGGAAAGAACAAGAGAGTTTTTATTTTGAATGTTGTAATGGGTGCATGGTATTAAAAAGACTGTTTATATAGATTGGGATTTGCCCATGTATAGCGCGGTATACACTTCTGCAGCGATGGTCTTAATTCACCCCAGTCCTAGACTAGGAAGATTAAATTGGTGTGGGCTACGAGATCTTCGTAGGTGTGGCCGTGTAACGTTGACGTACGCTTGATATGTATGAATAAAGAAGGAATCCAACCGTGTGTATTAAACTGCATAAATTTTAATATCTGACACACAGTGTAGTCACATCTTGCACAGAGAGACAAAGAAACGCGCACACGCGCGTAAACGCGTGTGCTTACTCCCGCGACCACAACCAGACTCCCGACTCCTATAGCTCTCTTTTATCTCCTCCTCAATCTCTCTTAACCTGCTATATATTACCCCCAAAACCCCTACATTCTGAGCGCACATGTTACCCGTTCTCCCAGACCGCGTCCTACCTCCATTTCACAATGACCCTAGAAACGCCCGACCTAAAACACGTTTATCATTTTTCCTATAACATCAATCTAGCCGCACAAGATGCGCGATGCTCTGTCTACATAGACTACCACTAAAACAACCACCAGCCTAGCCTCGCTGACTAATTCATGCAACATTTGTAAAACATATGTTACATTATCTCCCCCTTCCCCAAGACGATGACTACCCTGTCATCGATTCAGCGTCCCGCTGATCTACACTTCAACCTAAACCTAAACAATTTCAACAAAAATGCTACCCTAATACTTTCCTAACTCAACCCCAACGAGAGAAACGTATTTATGTCCAATTAAACAACCCACAATCAATACACAAACAAAACAACAATCAAAATACAAAAAAAATACATATGAAGCATAAAGCTTTCTATACAAAACAAGTAACGATAAAGTTCGATCACCATACTAGACAATAATATACCACAATGTAACTCTGTTTCCTATTGGTTTTAGATTGAGTCCCATCATTTGTAATCTGTATTGAATAAAGGCTGATTTACGAAATGGACGTGTTTCTATCTATGATGGGACTCAATCTATTATTGCCGACAGTTTCCTGTAAATTTCGTCCAAATCCTACGTGCATTCATATACGCTGTATGCGGCCATTGCTCTCGCGGCGGGCACTGTCATTCGGCGCTCGCCTCCCTGGTCAAGCTGGGGTATGCACGTTCATCATAACGTGTCCTGGTTGTTCAGACGACGTGAACTACACAGAGGCTGTACTCCGTGATGTGTTGACACGAGGCCTGGAGGACACCGAAATACAACTTAACCTACTCGGGGACAAGAACCAGGAAATGACCCTTGAAGAGGTGCTTCAATTTGTTGAGACAAAAGAATCGGGCAAACGCTCTGCCTCGCGTCTCATCGACCTACACACTAATGGTGCCGAAGCAGTCAGCAGCTCTTATAAACGTGGCATGAACGATTCTCTAAAAGATCGCAGTAGGTATGACAATACGAAAATTGACAAGTCAGAATTGTGCTCATACTGCGGTAAAAAAAGCCACGGAGTCCGTAACCTCGCCAGGATTAGACAGAAGGAATGCCTGCGCATGGCCACACATGCCAACACGGTGACAAAAACCACCACTTTGACAGCATGTGCCGAGGCAGGAACAAGACCAAGTACAAGACAATGGCAAAGTTATTTAATGAGCACGAAGGTGCGGTATTCGACCAATTGTGCTCAATTACTACTCCTGCTCGACACAACGGTGGAAATATAACTCTCGACCACCACCTTTACAACCAACTATCAGACATTTGGATAAAGCAAAAGTCCAAACCTCAGCCGTTCGTTAACCTCACAGTGGGAGCACACCCTAAAGACTACAAACGTCTTGGTCTCAAGCTCACATCCACAACCAGGTCGGTCGTCATTCCTTCAATGGCTGACACTGGTTGCCAAAGTTGTCTGGCGAGTCTCAAGGTCGTCAATCGGCTTGGTCTAAGTAAGGCCGACCTCATCCCATTGACATTGCGGATAAATGCAGCCAACAACAAAGGCATCAACATCTTGGGCGCAGCAATCCTACGTTTTTCTTGTAAGGACACATCTGGCAATACGCTTGAGACACGCCAAGTTACGTAGGTACATCACTGAGAACTCAGACAAACTCTTCATCAGCAGAGAAGCTTGCATTCGCCTAGGCATGATCAGAGACACATTCCCAACCGTAGGTAAAACCAACAACGATTAGGCGGCACATTCTGGTAGTGATGACTACCTAACTCGCGACGAAAATGACAACGGGCTCGCGACCAAGTGTGAATGTCCTCGACGCCAGCTGCCGCCCCCACCACCGTCGAGTCTACCATTTCCAGCAACTGAAGACAATTGAGAGAAGCAGAGACAATACCTTCTTGATCGTTACAAATCTAGCACATTCAACACGTGCGAACACCAACCACTGCTGATGATGGAAGGCCCCCCGCTACATCTAATGGTGGACCCACATGCCGAACTCGTAGCAGTACATTCTCCCGTGCCTGTACTCATCCATTGGCGAGACGACGTGAAAGCTGGACTGGACAGAGACGTACGGCTTGGCGTACTGGAACCAGTACCAGTAGGTGAACCGGTGACATGGTGCCACCGCATGGTCGTTTGTGCGAAGAAAAACGGCAAGCCGAGACGGACAGTTGACATGCAACCACTTAACACGCATGCAACACGTGAAACCCACCACACACAGTCACCATTCCACCAAGCGCGGTCGGTCCCACATGGGACGGTAAAAACTTTTTTCGTCGCGTGAAATGGCTATCACAGTGTACCACTCCGGGAAA